TTTTTTTTTAAATCAAATATATATTGTATGTATACTTAATCATATAATTTAATGGATACACAACCTGAACTATCTTTACAACAAAATTGTCATTAACAAATGACTGACTTACTTTCTACCCCACCAGGACATCACACAAGCGATAAACACCCAATGACACAAAGTGCCACCATGCGGATAAGGATCGCCGTGGAGAGGTCCCAGAAACCGCATTCAGACATTTGGCCATATGTATGGCCTGCCTATATTGCGGCCCCTGGCAAAAGCCAGAGTAGAGCTTCAAATGACAAAAAATTTCGTCCTAAAAAAGGACGAAACTGTATAAAGCATTAACAGATTTATACCACTGTTAAAAAAGCCTGGAGTGCTCACAGATAATATGTGTATACATATAAACAGATTTCGGTACAAGGAAACAATGTTATTGACCATATGTGTAATGACAAGGTTTACTCTCAAACATTAGTTATTTGCATAGTTTTCCACACCTTCAGGTATATTGTGGCACATAGGGCAAGACCAATACTTCTTTGAGCGGTCAGCACTCGGTGGCTGATGGGGGTCAGCATCGGTTTATTTGTTTATGAGCGTGTTAAAATAATAAAGGGGAGCTAAACGTTTTTTTTTTTTTTTTTACGTATCCAGAAACCATGAGGTGTAAACCCTTTTGGCTCGGTACTATGGATATCGCAACCCTTCGGCCTTGATTCCATTATAGGTACCGTTAATCTGGGAGAAATGTGGCTTTTCTGCCTACCCCCGGGAGTGAACCCGGACCACAAGGAGTTCGTCACCCGGCCGCCGCGAAAGTCAGGTTTAACCAACTTCGCTAGAGAGCCGGGAGAGCTAAACGTGTAGACAGCGTAGAAAGAATTACAGTAACTGATAGGTTTTTTTTTCTAGCGATTCCCAGTCGTAAACAGTACCGGCACCTCTATTAGGGCGTGGAAAGTGCGAACTCATATGGATAGAGAAATGTATCTGCCCTGAAAGACGAACCGCCCTGATTGGGAGAGAACTTGGTAGACACAAAATCGACAATGTAGCCCTGAGCGAGACTAGACATGATGGTGAGAGAGAATTCTGCCAGGTTGGTTCAGGTGACACATTCTACTGCACTGGTAGAAGTACTGAAGAACGCAGAGAAGCCAGAGTGGGTTTTGTAGTGAAGACCACATTAGTCGGTAAATTGAATAAACCCACAAAAGGTAAAAGTGATCGGCTCATGGCGATGTCAGTATTTTTGTTTCCAGGAAAAAGGGATGCCGCAATCGTAAATGTTCATGCACCAACAATGACTAACACGGACGAGACCTTTAACTGATTCTATAAAAACCTGTGTGCCGTAATCGAATCAATACCAAAAGACCACAAGCTTTTGATCCTCATCGATTTCGGTGCTAAAGTGGGTACAGACTTTAAGTGATCCAAATTCAAAATCAAAGAAGGACTCCTTCAAAATTATTATAAAAACTCATCATCATCATCATCATCATCATCATCATCATCATCATAAACCACTTCTGCCGTTAAGCGGCGCAGGGAGAAAAAAATTGCGATCCACTGCACGCTGGCTGCTACTGGCTATTAACATGCCGTAAAGGCGTAGAGTGTCTTTAATGTTGTCGATCCATATTTCCGCGGCCGTCCTCTTGCTCTTGTATCTGATCTTCTGAGATGTAGTGCTCGTGATAGTATTTGATCTTGCTGCATTCTAACGAGATGGCAAAACCACATGATCTGCTGTTTCTTGATGAATCTAGTACAAGGTGTCGATCCCACAATTTGCCTGATAGTTTCATTTTTCACTCGATCTCGGATGGTTAGGTTGGCTAGGTTTCTCAGGCACCTCATCTTGCAGGTGGTGGTTTTGCGTATATGGTGTTTAGATAGTGTCCATGTTTTGCACTGGTAGCTAAATGTTGGAATGAAAAGGCTGTTTATGATCTGTCTCTTTGCACTCATAGTTATGATTGGATGTCTTAACAATGGTGACAATTGAATATAAGTGCACTTGCTTTCTGACATCTTGTTTCTATTTCTCTGTCAATTCTACCATCTTCTGTGATCTTACTTCCTTGATATTTAAACTCCCTAACTTGATTCAGACCAGAATAATTCAGCTGTATGTGTAGAGGGCTAGGGTTTCTACTAACTTGCATTGTTTAATTTTTGTTTGCATTGATCTTAATATTGTATTTACTGCATGCTGAGTTTGAACTGGTAATATGGTCTTGCATTCTATTTTCTTCAGTGTAGAAAAAACACTGGTCGTCAGCAAATAGTAGTTCGTTTAATGTGGGTGAATCTATAACTTCTCCCAATGTGTGTACCTCCTCATGATTATAAATATCTATGGTGTCTGTATCAAAACTTGATTTTTTAGATATTCTGTCTATATAGATGTTAAATAAAAGTGGGAGAGAGCATGCATCCCTGTCTCACACCTGTGTTGACTGTGAACAACCACCAAGACGACCGCAGGGAAGCAAGACTTACAAACAACTTAACGTCTCAAGGCTGATAAATAAATCCACAAAAGATCACTTTGTATCCACGCTGGAAGATCGTCTACAATCCAGGGCCTTAGACGGTCCAAATATGGAGGAAACATGGATCACCCTCGGAGATTTGATCTACAGCACAGCTTTAGAAACCCTAGGAATAGCTACTAGGAAACACAAGGTTCAGACTAAACTTCAACAGTTGCGAGACTTGTTGCTAAGCAATAATTGTGATGAGATTCAGCATTTTTCAGACAGGCATGATATGGAAAATATCTCTATGATGCTTTAAAAACTGTAAATGGACCTAGGTCACCATCATCCTGTCCCCTTGTCAGCAAAGATGGAACTACACTACTCACTGATAAAGATGCCATCCTCAAACTTTGAGCTGAACACTTCAGTAACGTCCTGAACCTACAGTCCTCCATGATAAAGATGCAAGGAACACTTTAGTTTGCCCCAGGTCAGCACAGATGAATGCAGCTCACTGATAAAACACCTCACGCGTTGGAGACACGAGTAAGGCCATTGGTCAGTCTGTCTAGTCGTAAACTATGAACGGTTCGCCCCAGGTCTTGAATGCGATGAAACCCCCGTGAGGCTTTCGGAAAAGGTGGTAATGACCTCACTGAGAAAATAATGCAACAATTTCAACTTTTATGGTATCAAGAAATACTTCCACAAGACTTCAAAGATGCAAAAATCATACACTTGTATAAACGTAAATTTAACCCGCCAGATATGTGACAGTCACAGCGCAACCTCTGTTTTGTCTATTGCTGGTAAAATCCTGGCTAGAATTCTCCTAGACCGTCTTACAGTGCATTTCGATCAAGACCTCCAGCCTGAGAGCCAGTGCGGCTTCCGTAAAAGAACGAGGGACAAATGACATGGTTTTGCTGCTCGCCATCTCAAGGATAAGTTTGCAGAACAAAACTGCGACCTCTATTTTACCTTCACAAATGTCTTTGATACAGTCAGTAGAGGAGGACTGTGGAAAATCATGTCTAAATGTGGCTGTCCCTGAGAAGTTTATTAGGACTGTACAGCAGTTCCATGAAGTTATGCAGGCCAGAGTGCTGGAAAAGGGAAAATGGTCAGACTCTTTCACTGTCTCAAATGGCGTAAAGCAGGTATTTGTGCTTGCCACAACCTTGTTGTAAAATGGCTTTGATGTTGACGATCCGGGATTTGCTTTAAATTACCGTACAGGTAGCAGCTTGTTTCATTTGAGGAGGCTTCAAGCTAAAATAAAAACTAAAACAAACACAATTAGGGACTTTTATTTGCTGACGACTGCACTCTGAACTCCAGCTCTGAGCCTATTGTGCGGCACATCAGATGTCCTGAGGCCTGTACCAACCTCGGGCTAACTAGCAACACTGATAAAACTGTTGTTATATCCATCAACCGGCTCCCAGACCAAATTACTGTGACTCCACCATCACCGTATATGATCATAAGCTAAATTTAGTCGCCAGATTCACTTATCCCGGCAGTACCCTTTCTCAGAAAGTCAACATGACGAGATTAAAGCTAGAATCTCCAAGGCCAGCAGCAGTTTCGTCAGTCTTTATACCAGTGTCTGCAACAGAAGTGGTATCTTCCTGCAGACCAAGCTAAACGTCTACAAGGCTGTAATTCTGTCAGTACTGCTCTATGCTTGCGAAACGTGGACTGAGAATCAGCGCCTTGCTAAAAGTTGAATTAGTTTCATAATACTTGACTCAGAAATCTGCTCAAAATCAAAAGGCCAGATACGATCCTAAATACTGTGGTTCTTGATAGGGCAAACCTGCCTAGTATCCACACGATACGGAAGAATTATCAGCTGCGTTTGGCCTGGTGACCTAACTCGCATGCCAGACTATCGCCTCCCAAAGAAAGTATTTTACTGGGAGCTCCAGCAAGGAAAGAGGTTCCAGGGAGGACAGAAAAGGCTCTAAAAAGAGCATCCACTTAGCGACATGGAATGCTGATGCACGAGACCGTTGTGAATGGCGTACATCCCTAAGGCATGGCGCATCAGCCTGCCAGGCAGCAGAGGTTGCACAGGCAGAGAAATGGAGGCTGACTAGAAGAAACCGTATTGCTAATCCTACACTTACTTCGCCTTCCACCTGTTGTCCGCACTGCTTAAGAACTTCCCAGGCTCGTATTGGACTAATCAACCACCGTCGTACTCATAATCATTGATCATTAACACTTTGGATGAAAAGTGGTAATCATCACTCGTAATTGAGGAACAACACTAAGGCATAACTTTTCAGCGCTTCTGTAACAGACACCAAGTGGTAAGTCCCTTCATCTTTTATTTTAGACACCTTGTGGTAATACTGGCAGTAGGAGGAAAAATAAAGCCTTGGTAACTGTGACCGAGAAGTGTGAAAATAGTAGATTTTAGCGGGACTGAACAGTCAACGTATTGTGAGTCGCTTGTCTGCAAAACAGTTACAGGGTGCATGATTGTATTATTTGACACTCGTCTTTACACTATTGATAGTCGCTTACTTTGCTGATGCCCATGCTTCGTCGCAAGCAAATCAACCACAAAGCAAAGAAGAGACAGAGATATTCAAGAAGCATAATAAAATAAACGCCAAATATAATCAGTCCCGTCTCAGAAGTGACATAGTCCCAGATGTGTTCGTAGCAGCCATACTTGTAGTAGGTTTTGGTAGCGTATTTTGCTTGTTCTACGCAGTCACCAACGGTTTTGTCAATACAGCAGATCTGAGGCGTAACGGCCACATGTGGGCCAGGCATGACGCTCTTTGGATACCCGGCTATGCTGAAATCTAAATACCCGTCTACTCCACAGCACTTGAAGTAGGACATGACAGCGTTCCACCCAAGAGTGAAACTGTCTTCTCCGTTAATGTCAGTGAAAGACGACAAGGAACTTTTCAACAGTCGCTTAACTGTGCTGTCAAAAGGCGCTCTATCAATATATACACATATTAAGATAACCACTTGTGCGAAGAAGACACAAGCTAATAGCACCAAATACACGATAATAAACTTATAAAACTGGCCAGAAGCTGCAATAATGCCGAGAATACACAATGTTCCGATAATAACTCCAAATATAAGAAGGATGACTCCAAGAGGGACGGTAATAAAAGTTACATCCAAGTTGTTGACATTCAAGTTCTTGTTGCCTATCTGTGCTGCAGACACGCTGAGGTCTTTCCGGAGAAACTCCAGGGAGCTTCCATACACTGGTCGGCCGATTATGAGCACCGCCCCGCCGCCAATACAAGCAGCAGCGATCAACTGAGGACAAATAAAGAGATATTTATTGAATTATAGATACATAAAACTAAATAACTGGGCAGCCACCCTGGTGTAGTGTTCATACGCTCGCATGTGATCCGAAGCTAAGAAACTAAGTGAAACAATTACCTAGTTAAAAACCACAGATTCCAAGAAAAATCTGGGGTGGTTCTACGACGTCCAGTAAAAGGTATACAACTAAGGAAAAAAAAATATCCAAATGTAGAGAAATGTATGTATATATATTTGTAATACATATATACACGTCGGCTCTGTGGCTAAGTCGATGCGAACGCTTCGTAATTCCGGGGTGCCGGGTTCGATCCCAGCTGCGGGCTATGCGCCTTGCGTTGGTTTCGACAGTGGTATCAGTGAGCCGACCGTCTAGGAAGAATTGGCAAACTACTGGACGTAAATTTGCCTAGAGAAACCACACAACAGCCAGGGGCTGCTGGGGTTGGTTCTGCAACGTAAAGGATACGCAACTAACCTTTTATAACCTTTAAACATACACACATCTATTCCGAAAATGTTTTTTTTTTTTCGTTTTCTGTTCTGCCTATTGTTATCCTGTCTTTTTCTACTTCGATTTGGTATGCAGACATTTATTAATCCCACAAGGAAAATAAATCAGTCACCCCTATCAATTTCTGTTCTCACACCTGACGTGTACAAAGTATATGATTCTAGGTGCATGCTTAAATGTTGGCGCTTGATAGTGATGTGAACGAATCAAAACTGGCATACTTTAGAACACCAGAGCATGCCCTTTCACCTCTTCATGAGCACCTCACGACAGTCCGGTTACTTCAAACATCTTGGAAGTAGAAGCAGAGGTTGACCACGCAAAACCAAGGCTCTCACCCGATGCTTCTTCAAAACTTGACGCCGCAAGACAATGAACGACTATAGAAGAAGAAGGAGAAGTAGCAGAAGCATGTACTAGCACCCACGACATGATGTGTTCATCTGACACTAACTACATACTAGACTTCCTATTATATCTACAAAAGTAAATCAAGGAGCAGGACACACCTTTATTGTACCACATGATGTGTGTGTATAGTACATGTTTGTGTGTGTGTGTATTTGCATGTGTGTGTGTTTGTGTGTGTCTGTGTGTTTAAAAAACTAGAACACACAAGTACCAATGATTATCTGTAGTTCGTATTACTTATTTTTAAACATTATCTTTATTATATTTACTAGCTTTACTAATAATAATGTTGCTGCTACTACAACTACAGCTGCTACCGCGGCGAAGAATGGGTACCAGGTAATGTCCTGGGAAATAAAGGCGACTGAGATTATGTTGACTACTTCACACAGATAATGCTTATTAACTGATCAACATATGAGTCTAACATGCGGATCTTGTGTAAAAAGGGATCCAACTTCATTTACTTAATAATAAAAGTAGCTGTAATATTAGTAGTAATAGCAGCAGCACTGTTAGTAGAATTTGCAGAAGCAGCAGTAGCAGTGGTAGAATTGATAGTAGCAACAGTAGCAGTAACAGCAGCAGCAGTAGTAGTAGCAGCAGTAGCAGTGGTAGAAGTGGTAGTAGTAATAATAGTATTACCAGCAGCAGTGGTAGAAGTGGTAGTAGTAATAGTAGTAGTAATAGCAGCAGTAGTAGTAGTAAAAGTAGTAGTAAAAGTAGTAGTAGCATCAGTAGCATTGGTAGAAGTGGTAGTAGTAATAGTAGTAGTAACAACAGCAATAGTAGTAGTAGAAATATTAGTAGCAGCAGAAGCAGTGGTAGAAGTGGTATTAGTAACAGTAGTAGAAACAGCAGCAGTAGTAGTAGTAAAAGTAGAAGTAGCAGCAGTAAGAGTGGTAGAAGTGGTAGTAGTAATAGTAGTAGTAACAGCAGCAGTAGTAGTAGTCGAAGTAGTAGTAGCAGCAGTAGAAACACCCACAGCAATAGCAAAATCTTCATTTTCAGTATTGATAATTTCATACATACTTACCATCAATACAATATTGCTAGCCAGGAGTAATAGTAGTAGTAACAACAGCAGCAGCAGCAGTAGTAGTAGTAGCAGTGGTAGAAGTGGTAGTAGTAGTAGTAGCAGCAGAGCAGTGGTAGAAAAGGTAGTAGTAATAGTAGTAGTAATAAAGTAGTAGTAACAACAGCAGTAGTAGTAGTAGAAGTAGTATTAGCAGCACTAGCAGTGGTAGAAGTGGTAGTAGTAATAGTAGTAGTAACAACAGCAGTAGTAGTAAAAGTAGTAGTAGCAGCGGTAGAAGTGGTGGTAGTAGTAATAGTAGTAGTAACAGCAGCAGTAGTAGTAGTAGAAGTAGTAGTAGCATTAGTAGAAACAAAAACAGCAATAGAGAAATCTTCATTTTCAGTATTGATAATTTCATACATGCTTACCATCAATACAATATTGCTAGCCAGTAGTAATAGTAGTAGTAACAACAGCAGCAGCAGCAGTAGTAGTAGTAGCAGCAGTAGCAGTGGTAGTAGTAGAAGTAGCAGCAGAGCAGTGGTAGAAGTGGTAGTAGTAATTGTAGTATTAATAATAGTAGTAGTAACAACAGCAGTAGTAGTAGTAGAAGTAGTAGTAGCAGCAGTAGCAGTGGTAGAAGTGGTAGTAGTAATAGTAGTAGTAACAACAGCAGTAGTAGTAGAAGTAGTAGTAGCAGCGGTAGAAGTGGTAGTAGTAATAGTAGTAGTAACAGCAGCAGTAGTAGTAGTAGAAGTAGTAGTAGCAGCAGTAGAAACACCCACAGCAATAGCAAAATCTTCATTTTCAGTATTGATAATTTCATACATACTTACCATCAATACAATATTGCTAGCCAGGAGAAATCCCCTAGCTCCAGACATACCAGTACACATCTTCGTTTAGTGTGTATTCTACGTCCAACACACAATGCAGTTGCTTCCCAACATGGTGTTAGTTCACTTTTCTCTACTTGTCTAAACCGCTTCACCTGACACGCATAAAATCTCCCCCTTCAAGATCGTGTTTGAAAACTTGTATGGACAAATTTTCAGGAGTCATACCAGCAACAGTTTTGTTAATATTCTATTTTAAACAGATTTGTGCATATCCTGATCGATACCGTCGTTAAGTAAACAAACTTTGCCAGAATGAGTGAACTAATAGGCGCACATTCTAAGGCAAGAATCGATCCTTTCCAGTTATTTCAATGTTCCTTTCACTCTTCGCAATAAACGCTGTAGAAGTTTGAATAGGCCAGAACAGTTTATGATGCCGCGACATTTGCATTATAGATACCGGTTATTGCTTTTGGATATAATCTACGGCGCAATATCTCTTACCATGCCACTTTTAAGTATTTCGTAGGCTATTTAAATGTTCGATTTTAGAATTGGGGGTGGGGGAGGGGGGGGGGGTTGTTATTGATAATGTAACTGTTGTTAACTAAACAGCATTTTGACAGCAATAAACAACATTTTGCATATGGGATTGTGTTATAACAACGGGCACATTTCTATGGTCAATGGATCAGTGGGAAATAGAAATATGAAACAAAATTTCTTCACAGAAAATACAATTACTTTCTATAAGAAGGCTGTCAACCCAGTTTTATGTAACTGTTGGAGTTTGGTGGTTTCTGCCCTAGCCGCATGGGCTTTTTGAGTTCAAATCCTAGAAGTGGCAGTGCGTATATTTTCCCCCAATCCACTAGAAGGACTCTGAAAGTCTACAAGGACTTAAATGTAACACATAATGTCTATAGGGCAGCAATGATACAGAGAGACACTCCTGTTCGATGCTTTATTTTGTGCCTTGTATACGTGATCGCCTGCCATTTTTTAGTCCAAAGACAGTTTCGCCTTAAGATAATGCTGAGATTGTTTACACCAGTGTTCTTCAACTCGTGTGTCTCGGCCGGGAAGTTTATGTTGGCCATCAAAAACTGCATAATCCTCTAATGAGGTAGGTTAGGTGGTTGTTCTCTTCTGGTCTGTATGCCTAATACCTGGCTGCTTTCTCCTTAGATGGCCGAACCATTTCATTCTTTGTATGTCAATATAATCCAGACATGGTCTTATTCCAACTTTATCTCTAATGCTGGTATTCGTTACTCTCTCGTCTAGTGTTGTTTGTCATTTTAATAGAAATGAGTAATTTAAAATAAAAAAGTCCAGCACAGTTCGGATTTATAATCCACAAAATTTGGATCACAGGCGAGCGTATAGACACTACACAAAATGGCTTCCCAGTTAATTAGTTTCATATTTATCAATAATTCAGTAAATATCTTTGTATTTGTCCTCGACAGTTGATCGCTGCTGCTTGTATTGGCGGCGGGGCGGTGCTCATAATTGGCCGACCAGTGTATGGAAGCTCTCTGGAGTTTTTCCGGAAAGACCTCAGCATGTCTGCAACCCAGATAGGCAACAAGAACTTGAAGGTCAACAACTTGGATGTAACTTTTATTACCGTCCCTCTTGGAGTCATCCTTCTTATATTTGGAGTTATTATCGGAACATTGTGTATTCTCGGCATTATTGCAGCTAATGAATATGCTACCAAAACTAATTACAAGTATGGCTGCTAGGAGAATATCAGGGACTATGTCACTTCTGAGACTAGACTGATTGGATATGAACAGCCATTTGTACTTGTATGTATGTATGTATGTATGTATGTATGTATGTATGTATGTATGTATGTATGTATGTATGTATGTATGTATGTATGTATGTATGTATGTATGTATGTATGTATGTATGTATGTATGTATGTATGTATGTATGTATGTATGTATGTATGTATGTATGTATGTATGTATGTATGTATGTATGTATGTATGTATGTATGTATGTATGTATGTATGTATGTATGTATGTATGTATGTATGTATGTATGTATGTATGTATGTATGTATGTATGTGTGTATGTGTGTGTGTATGTGTGTGTGTGTGTGTGTATGTGTATGTGTGTATGTATGTATGTATGTATGTATGTATGTATGTATGTATGTATGTATGTATGTATGTATGTATGTATGTA